GCGTTCCTCCTGTTGTCTTGATTGCTTGCAGATTCAAGGTTTTCATATTTGCACCATCGATCAGCAAGGGGTTGCCCGTTCCTATTGCCGGTTTAGGGTTGCTCACAATCCGTATGGGAAGTGGCGTGGTACCGTTCGACAAGCGCGATGTAGTTGCGGGCGCACTTCCCGTTGCTGTTCCCATTGGCTTCATGCTGCTGCGATTCAAATAGACCAGCTTATTGCCAGTTGTTCCCGTTGTGGTAAACAGCTGCTGGATGCCCTTATTAATCACAATGCCCTTGCTGTTGGTCACAATACTGGATGGCTTGATTTGCGAGTTGGTGGCTTCCTTGATGATCTTTTGGCTGATGATTAAGGGGTTGTTGGAACTGCTGCTGCTAGCTACTATAATACAAATTTGACTTAATTTCAGTTTACTGCATATACGTTTTCAAGGACTATTTACCTGTTTTAGTGGCATCTCCCTGCTGCTGTTGCTGCTGCTGCTGCTGCTCGGCAAAGTTGCCTTCATTGTCGGCAAACACAATCGGCATGTCTATGATATTCGAAAGATCCACATTACTGCCCCCAGTTGGCTGTGCCGCCGGCATATTCTTGGTCATCTGCAGCATGGTTATGCCACTAGCGTTTTTAACCACGGTGTACTTCTGCTGGGCCGCCGCTGCTGCCGTTGACGAAGCATTCGCAGTGTTTGCAGCAGCTGCGGTCACAAATTGCGTTGTGACACCCGACGGAGCTTTTAGGGTAAAGATCTGTTGACCACTGGACGGTGGCAGCGTCTTGACAATGCTTCCAATGCTTGTGCTGGCCGCAGTGGCGGCGTTGCTGCCCTTGCCGATGGTGTAGTTGACCAGCTTGTTCTGCGCCGGCAGCGACTTCAGCTGCACGAACTGGCTGGATGGTATCATCTTGATCTTTGTTCCCGTTGCGAGCGACACAGTGGTTGGCGTCGACACGGGCTTTATTACATTTGGCTGCACTGACTTTACCACGGTGGTCGCAGTACCTGTCGTTGGCTGCTGATTATCATCATAGTCGAGTGTCTCCTCCAGCATAGACTCAATGGACATGTTCATCTCCTCATTGGTCAGCACGTGCTTCTCCAATAGGTTTGACTTGATCCCAGTTGCCGGCACGCCACCAGGCAGTGGACGCGTGCGTGGGCGCCCAACTGTGGAGATGCGTACTGTTAGTCGATGAAACGGGATGGAATGATCAGCATTTTAAGACAGGGACCGTAAGTTTAAATTATGAGTATGATGTGCGCGCAAATTAGATCAATAATGAAATTAAATATCATGCAAAATAATTACAATGATTAAAAATAACGAAATAATGACTGAATGAATAAATGCCGTGAAGGATGTAGGAAGGTTAATACTTAAGAAAGTTAGTTTAGTTATCAGCACTTTAGCTGTACAATGGTACACAACTCATAACCATTACGATCCCCAATCTTCAAACAGCCAAGCAGGACCATGATTTACCCTTTCGCTTCACCGCAAACGGATCAATTAGACGCGGCGGCTTCGGTTTGGGCAACTTAGGTGTGCGAGCTTCAGGTTTCGATTAGTATTGAATTAGTAGGTGGATTGGTGAGTGGATAGTAGGTGGAATGGCAACATGCAAAAGCAGATCGAGTGCACATATAAGGTACACATAATAATGACGAGCAATACATGGGGTTAAATAAAATAATTTACGAATATAAATGTAAATGGGAAGTTGAAAACGCGACTCACTGTGCGGGACAATTTTCGATTTAGAGGGCATACAGCCGTCCTCCAGCCCGCTGTCATTTGCCTTACGCTTGCGTGATTGGGTGATCTGTGCCTTATTCACATTCCCATCAGCCAGAATATGCTGGTGTTGCTTGGGCTGCCGCTGGTATGAGTTGCTGGCTAGCAGCGAAGTGGGCATGCGTGGACCTGGCGGATTGCTCAATGTCTTATTGACAAACTCATATACCTCATCCTGCAAAAATATTCAAGAATGTTTAGATATAAGCATCGACAGCAATAGGAAATTAAGTCTGCGGAGACTCACCACGACCATAAAGTCGATCATGGCCTGAGTGACAGCTTCGAGGCGACGCTTGCTCTTAGGCACACGCAGTGCATCGTCCGCACTGCCTACAACGACTAGCGAGGATTCAGACTGCATCCGCTCGCGCAGGCCCTCCATTTCCTCCTGGCTGCTGCGGGCCGAATTCTGACCGATGACGAATAAAATGGGTGCTTTAATATCCAGCAGACGATCGTCGGGTGCACCGCGTGGCCCGCGCAACGTATTGTAGGCAAATCCCATGCAAATTACACACGCAACGCTCTCTGACATAGCCACCTGCAGAGCGAGTGCTGAGCCGGCATTAAAGCCAATGAGTATGATGCCACGATTGGGATTTTCGACGCGCAATTCGTGTATGCGTACACGAGTCAGCGAGACAATCGTCTCGGCCACTTGATCCAGATTTTGGCCGCCAATGCGATCGTCTGTAAGCAATACGTCCAATTAGAAATCTATATAGTTACATAAACTATGAACCACTTACTCGTATTCGGCAGCGTGATCTGGACTATTTGGGTAATGCTTGCCAAGGCCTCATACCAATTTTGCATGCGCTGCGGCACCGGGCCACTGGTGGGCATATTTGGTATTGCGACCATAATGGCATTGTGTGTCAGATGCCGCGACTTAGCCAGTATATCCGGATGCCAGCGCTGCTTCATAACAGGAGCAAGTAGCTCTTGGGAATTGTTCAGCGGACGACTGAAGAGCATTTTGTCAATGAGTGTCGGCACTTTGGATTTAAGCGTCTGCATAATGTCCAAATAGGAGGCCATATATGAAGGTGGCAGGTGCTCCATGAGCAACGCATGCAGCCACTGTGTGGTGCGTGGCTCCCAAGCAACGCTGGCTAAAGCACGTCGCATACGCGAACTGGACTTATCAACAGCCACTCGCCGATGYACTACCTCTTGCTGACGCTTATCGTTAGCCAAACGAGCTAATTGATCCTGATCCAAAATGGTAGCAACTTTATCAAACAGCGTTTGCTGCATGGTTGTCCAGCCAGTGCTGTAAAAAGGCAGCTGTTAGTCAATGCAAAACATATATCGTATATTGCTGCTTACCGATTGATGCGCTCCTGCCAATCCTGATCATCTGAATTATTGTTTCGCACATACTTGGCAATGCGTGCGCACTCGTTCATCATCTCCTTTGCCGCAATCTCATCGTAGACGGGTATGTGGGCTGTCTGCACTGAGTCCCCCGATTCCTCGTGCGCTGGGTACGTGTGACAGGTGGGACACTGCGGTGCATGGCGGACGAGAATAGTGCGAGCGGGTGCTAAGCCATTATTTATTGTATTCTCCGGTCGCGGAGCATCGCGCATATAAGTATGTTCCATTGAGGATTCACTGGGTGCCGAAATAGTACTTGTCTGTAAATAAATACATATACAAATATTAGAAGACATCTACAAGCAATAGCATTTAAAAAGGTAAGTGGAATTGGATGAAGTGAGTAAAGTGAGTGAAGTGAGAAACTCATGCAGGACAAATCTGGAACTGAAGTGAGGAGTTGAAGAATTGCTAGTGGCGTATTATTACACTCTCTGTTGAAATTGTTGCAGACGCGGCCGAGGCTGCTGTCGCTGCTTTTGGCGGAGAGCTCAATATGGATGCCGCACTACCCAGCTGGCCCGCCTTAACCACATAGTAAGAGTTATTAGCGGTTCCAGCTGTTGGCATTTTTGCTGTTGTTATTGCTGCTGCTGATGTTGCGGGAGCAGACGCTCTGGCTATGTTTGTGTTTGTATGTGTTTGTGTGTGTGTTTGTATTTTTGTGTATGGTGTTCCAGCCCTGGCGATAAATTTGCTAGGACTGTATGTAATAATTGAGGTGTTTGTGTTGGCCGACTGCATCTTTGGTTTCTTCTCGACCATAATAATTTCACTTTTATTGTTCTTCGTCTGTTTTATCTGCATCATATTGTGTGTAGTTTTTTTATCTTTGTTTTATTTGTTTTATTTCGTTACTCGCAGCTTGCAGTTTTGCTTCTTCTTTCTGAGCTACTTTGCAGCGCTCTTGGCGGTGACTTGCAATGCACACACAAACTTGTAGCACTAGTCTTATTGTTAATTCAATTTTTATCGATGTGGTATTGGTAATTTTATTTTTTCTATTATTCCTGTTTTTTAGTTTTCCTCAACAAATCACTGCCTGCGTCTTTGCAATTAAAATATGGCGTGTGCGTAAGGCGTTGCCGTACTGGTAGAATTAACAAGACATGTAATTGTCACTCAAGTCTGGCAGCCCCAAGCCTTGCAATAAATGCCCCTAAACTTATATATTTCGCTACCGTACCATGCATATATTGCAGAGCAATATAATTTCATAATTCGGTATAAGAGGGTATCACTTACTGAATCACTGAGTGCAGGTGTTGCAGATAGCATATTTGAATTAGTTGACTGTTGTTCGGTATCTTCATGGGCCACATTCTGTGATATGTGCCCACCGCTTTGCACGAAATTGTTAAAACATTCGATAAACGAAGACATTTCCGAAGCGTTCAGTATACAATTTCTCACTCAAACTCAAATGGGTGTTTTGAAACTTGTAAACAATATACAAAACATTAAAAAGCGAGCGTAGCTTGATCAAAATATGTCAAGATTACAAAAGTGTTGCCACTCTATGCACCATCGTAGTTTTTAAACACTGCTTTAAATCAGCTGTTTTGCTGATTGGTATGACTGCGTGCTCTGCTACGCACTGTACCAAAAAAGGATTCCGAACATGATCGGAAATTATTATATCTGGATATTTAAAATTCCATTATGAATAATATCCTTGAATAATTCCATATTAAATCAAAAAATGTATAAACAAGAGACATTGTACAATGTACCCAAAGCTGGTATATTTGTACCAAACGAGATATCACGCGTGATTGCACGCACTCATCACTAGTTGGCTTGCATGTTTTCTTTTTGTTTGACATTTCTTGAAAAACGTTTTGTGCGGATTTTATAAATTAAATATATAAACATTGCGGCTGTTAATTCCATAATGTAAAATGGACGAATTGCAAAAGCTGGAGTACCTGTCCCTGGTGTCAAAAATCTGCACCGAGCTTGACAATCACTTGGGCATTAACGACAAGGATTTAGCTGAATTTATCATCGACTTGGAGCACAAAAATCGCAGCTATGATGCGTTTCGCAAAGCCCTACTAGAAAATGGTGCCGAGTTTCCCGATTCTCTGGTGCAAAACTTGCAACGCATCATCAATTTAATGCGGCCCAGTAGACCTGAATGCGATGCAAAAATGACGGCTGGCGAGGATAGCAAAGAAGACAAAAAATCGCAGCTCAAGAAAATGTTTCCCGGCTTAGCTCTCCCCAATGACAAATTCAGCAGCGAAATGGACAAGGACGAACAGAGTGAAGAGAAAGAATCAAAGCAGAAGTTAAAAATAAATAAGAACGATATGAGCGACGTTGATGCCGCCATGCTGGAGCTAGAGGCTCTGGAACCTGGCGAGAGAAAAGACCAGGAGTCAGTAAAAGAGAACAGTAGTAGCTCACGGGACCGCCACAAACGCAAAGAACGCAGTCGAAGCCGCGAAAAAGACCGTGATAGGGATAGACATCGAGAAAGAGAACGAGACAGGGATAGGAAGAGGGAGAGTGATCGGCATAGAGAACGGGATAAGGATAATCAGAGAGAAAGAGAGCGAGATAGGGATAGAGAACGGGATAAGGAACATCGACGCCGGCGCAGCAGATCTCGAGAGGAACGTGATCGTGATCGCGATCGTGACCGTGATCGTGACCATGACCGTGACCATCGGAAACGCCGTTCTAGCTCACGAGAGCGGCAAGACAGACACGAGCAACGTAGACGACGCTCCCGCTCCCGATCTCATGAGCGCAGCAGCCGCCATCAGCAGCAGGAGAAAATGCCACCGCCAGCTGCTGGGATGAGCGATGATCCAGAGGTGGGAAAGATTTACTCCGGCAAGGTGGCGAACATAGTCCCATTTGGTTGCTTTGTGCAGCTATTTGGTGTGCGCAAGCGTTGGGAGGGTCTGGTACATATCTCGCAGCTACGCGCCGAGGGACGTGTCACCGATGTCACCGAGGTGGTGGCTCGCAATCAGACAGTGAAAGTGAAGGTCATGTCGCTAGCCGGTCAAAAGGTATCACTGTCAATGAAGGAGGTGGATCAAGAAACTGGCCGAGATCTCAATCCACTGTCACATGCACCCGAGGAGGATGAATTGGCATTACGGGATCGAAATCCTGATGGACCCTACAACAGCACCTCCTCCATGCTCAATCTGCAGGGTAACAACATTGATGGTGATGAGCACGAGTCACGCAAGCGAGTGACGCGCATCTCCAGTCCAGAGCGATGGGAGATTAAGCAAATGATCAGCTCGGGTGTGCTGGACCGTAGTGAAATGCCCGATTTCGACGAGGAGACAGGCTTATTGCCCAAAGACGAGGACGACGAGGCGGACATTGAAATAGAAATTGTAGAAGAGGAGCCACCCTTCCTCTCCGGGCATGGACGAGCATTGCATGATTTGTCTCCCGTGCGGATAGTTAAAAATCCAGACGGCTCGCTTGCCCAAGCAGCGATGATGCAGTCCGCCTTGTCCAAGGAGCGGCGTGAGCAGAAAATGTTGCAGCGAGAGCAGGAGATGGAAGCAGTGCCCAGTAATCTCAACAAAAACTGGATCGATCCGCTGCCCGAGGATGATTCTTCACGCCACCTGGCGGCCAATATGCGCGGCATGGGCGCCGCTCCACAAGAGGTACCCGAGTGGAAGAAACACGTCATTGGTGGCAAGAAATCCTCCTTTGGCAAGAAGACCGATCTAACTCTCGTCGAGCAACGCCAATCTCTTCCCATTTACAAGCTCCGTGACGATCTCATCAAGGCCGTCACGGATAACCAGATTCTCATTGTAATTGGCGAGACAGGATCCGGCAAGACCACACAGATCACACAGTATCTAGGTGAGTGTGGATTCACGGCCAGGGGCAAGATTGGATGCACCCAGCCACGCCGTGTGGCTGCCATGTCTGTGGCTAAGCGAGTGGCCGAGGAGTTTGGCTGTCGCCTGGGCCAGGAGGTGGGCTACACAATACGTTTTGAAGACTGTACCAGCCCGGAGACAGTAATCAAGTACATGACGGACGGCATGTTGTTGCGTGAGTGCCTCATGGAGGCGGAACTTAAGTCGTATTCTGTCATCATGTTGGATGAGGCTCACGAGCGTACGATCCACACGGATGTGCTTTTTGGACTGCTGAAAACCGCCGTCCAAAAGCGTCCTGAATTGAAGCTGATTGTCACCTCGGCCACTTTAGATGCGGTCAAGTTTTCGCAGTATTTCTTTGAAGCCCCTATTTTTACGATACCCGGACGCACGTTTCCCGTGGAGGTGTTGTATACCAAGGAGCCAGAGACGGACTATTTGGACGCTTCGCTCATAACTGTGATGCAAATCCATTTGCGTGAACCCCCTGGCGACATACTGCTCTTTCTAACAGGTCAGGAGGAGATTGACACCGCCTGTGAGATACTCTACGAGCGCATGAAAAGCTTGGGTCCAGATGTGCCCGAGCTAATCATATTGCCTGTGTATTCGGCTCTTCCCTCCGAGATGCAGACCCGAATCTTTGATCCAGCGCCGGCAGGCAGTCGCAAAGTGGTGATTGCCACAAATATAGCTGAAACATCGCTCACTATCGATGGCATCTTCTATGTGGTCGATCCCGGCTTTGTAAAGCAGAAGGTTTACAATTCCAAGACGGGCATGGATTCCCTAGTGGTCACGCCCATCTCCCAGGCAGCTGCCAAACAGCGTGCCGGTCGTGCGGGCCGTACGGGACCGGGGAAATGCTATCGCCTCTATACGGAGCGCGCCTATCGGGATGAGATGCTGCCAACGCCAGTGCCGGAGATCCAGCGTACGAATCTTGCAACCACAGTGTTGCAGCTGAAAACAATGGGCATCAATGACTTGCTGCATTTTGATTTTATGGATGCCCCTCCCGTGGAGTCATTGGTCATGGCATTGGAACAGCTGCATTCGCTCTCTGCACTCGATGATGAGGGCCTATTGACACGCCTTGGTCGTCGCATGGCCGAGTTTCCTCTCGAGCCAAATCTATCGAAAATGCTGATTATGTCTGTCGCACTGCAGTGCTCGGATGAGATCCTAACCATTGTCTCTATGCTCAGCGTACAGAACGTGTTCTACAGACCCAAGGATAAACAAGCGTTGGCCGATCAAAAGAAGGCCAAGTTTAACCAAGCAGAGGGTAGGTCGGGAATATAGTCATATCAATATATGTTGTATCTTGTATATCTAACTGTTATTCTTGCAGGTGATCATCTAACTCTGTTGGCTGTCTATAACAGCTGGAAGAACAACAAGTTCTCCAATGCCTGGTGTTATGAGAATTTTGTGCAAATCCGTACACTGAAACGTTCCCAGGATGTGAGGAAGCAATTGCTCGGCATCATGGATCGCCATAAACTGGATGTTGTTTCAGCGGGTAAAAATTCGGTGCGCATACAGAAGGCCATATGTTCCGGCTTCTTTCGTAATGCGGCCAAAAAAGATCCACAAGAAGGGTATCGGACCCTGGTCGATTCACAAGTGGTTTACATACATCCTTCAAGCGCGCTATTCAATCGGCAACCCGAATGGGTTATCTACCATGAGCTGGTGCAAACGACAAAAGAGTATATGCGTGAGGTAACAACCATTGATCCCAAATGGTTGGTGGAGTTTGCCCCATCCTTTTTCCGCTTCTCTGATCCTACCAAGCTCAGCAAATTCAAGAAGAACCAACGATTGGAGCCGCTGTACAACAAGTACGAGGAGCCAAACGCGTGGCGTATATCACGCGTGCGTCGCCGCCGTAATTAATCAGTTAGATTTGTGCATCCAGTTTCTTTTTGTATTCAATAAAAACTAAGTAACAATAAAAATAAGTTCAAGGTTTTATGACTATCCATCGCTCAGTAGCCCTTGTGCCCTCGAAAGCGTTGTCGATTATCCAGCTGAAATTATACAAACTCCATTTCGTTCCTTAGCTCATCGTACATCAATTGGAAACTCACCAAAGATCGTTTGCACTCGTAGAAAGTGTTGCGCAGAACCTGACACTCAGGTGGTACGCTGTTGTCTTGCAGACACTGCCGCGGAGTCTTTTTGTCCAAGCGGCAGCACTCGCTTTCCAGCAGGCACATTTTTAGATCAGCACGAACGCCGGCACAGGCTGTTTCATCCGCCAGCTTTTCATTGCCCTCGTAGCGCATCATATTGTTTCTTTTTTATATTGTTTACAAGAAAACTGAACTTTATTATTGTTTAATTAAATTGGATTACAAAATCGACTAAGGCATCTGTTTCTTGGAAGTGTCTGGCAACGCTGGCAACGATATAAGTATCTAACGCTATCGATTAATGAAAACATATAACAAGTCGATATGAAAACCCCAAGTTGACAAGATAAGAAGAGCGGCGCGAATAAGAGCAAAATCATGTATAATTCTATTGAAATACCAGACTCCGACGAGGATATGTCGGAGCTAACAATAGATTTACCAAAATCAGAGTCCAGCGCTGCTGAAATAAATGAGCACACACCCAGAAAACAAAGAAAGATTTCGGTTTCAAGTGCAGCTGAGACCAATACAGCCACAACACCGGGATCTACATCATCCGAAACAACTAACAGCTCTCCTCTAAACAGTAACAAAGACAGCAATACAACGCACCAAGTTCGCCATAGATCTCGAAAAGCACAACTTACAGTACGTAATGGACTTGAAAATGAAATACAATTCGAAACAATACCGGTCGATGATGAAACTCCAGCAGCCCAAGAGCAACGGGTGAAGGAGAACGAAAGAGTGAGTACTCTCATCGCGAATATGCTAAACACAGACGAGATGGAAACGGTTGTGCAGCGAATCGCCAACGAACGCGTGCGTTGCAATTTCCTGTTGACTAGCTATAACGTAAGCAATATAAATAATTTGTACATATATATTCAACAATAATTCATGTATTAATCTGTTTGCTAGTTGCCTGACATGCATTTTTCACTAAGCACACCTCTCGAAATGCTAAAGTTTCAGTTCCAGGAGCGACTCAAGCTTCGCAGGGAGCGCTTGAATACAACAAATGCAACAAAACCAATCGTAACAAACAAAAACAAGTCTGAACAGCTATAGCAAACATTAATTAAGTGTAAATAATAATAAGAAGAAAACTTGTAGCACTAGCACCGTTAACGTAAATTATAATAATATAAAAATGAAATAAAAAGAAAAAATAAAAATTAATAAATAAATTAAGCTTTAAGTAAATGGCAGTCGGTTTTATTTTTGTTTTACTTGGCAAACATGTGTCTTTCGTTGTGTTTTCGCTTTATGCGCATGTCTCTCAAAAGTGCGTTTTAGTCAGACGCATTCAACAACCCAGCGTAGCCGTGATCGTCTAGTGGTTAGGACCCCACGTTGTGGCCGTGGTAACCCAGGTTCGAATCCTGGTCACGGCAATGCTGCAATAAGCATTGTCACGGAGTTGGGTTGAATTTTTTTTTTTTTTTTTTTTTTCAAATTAAAAATGTAATCATATATGTAGTTAATTTGTTCTTTATGAAGTAGGCTGCTTTTTTCAGGCAAAGGAAAATATTTTATTACGCATAACATACTTTGGCTGCTTATCAAATTGTCTGCTAAGAAAATTACAATGGAATTTTTGTTTGCATCGGAACTGTATAACGAATCAGAGTCGGACCAACCGGTAGAATCCGAAGAAAACAGCTATGACGAAGATATGATATACATTGATAATACCATAAAAAATATAAGTAGAAATTTGCGCAAAGGAGATTGGACATATTTAGGAAGACATCCAGAGGTATTTATGGCAATATACAATTTATTAAAGCATTTATTTATAAGATTTCAGATACGTGCTATAATTCGCGTGATTATAATGCAAGCCGTGAAACAGAAGCCCAAAAACATTTTTACATTTGCCGCTGATCTTTTTAGTATAAAGAAACAAAAGCAGTTGACAAAATTGGTAAACATTTTATTTAATTTAGTTGAAATTATTTACATTTTCCTCTACGTTTATCGCAGATCAACAAACAGTTGAAATGGGTAAATAAATTGATACATAAGGGCAACTGGACGGCTGTCGATGGAGTCATGTTATTCTCTGAAAGCTCCGAATGTCGTATGAAGGCAGAATGCCCAGACCGGGACCTACCAATTGAGGCCGTTTTTGAAGTGAAAAATATGTGTCCGGAAAATTTCAAACCCAGTTGCTGAATTTATTGAAAAATATTGTAAATATTAGTGTAAAATTAAACAAATTTTTAAAATGATAAAACACAATAAATAGATAATAAAGAAAGCGCGTCACTTGCTCAATTCTTAATTTTGGAGTTTCGGCTTAGATTTGTTTTTTTTAGTCTTCTTTAGAAAATTTGTAACAAGAGCCGCGCTCTTCTGATCGTTTTCTCGTTGCTTTTCCATTTCGATGGCTGATGAGAATTCCATCAAAGCATCCATTTGAGAAGTGCGACGTGCCTCGATTGTCATTTTGAAATCCTCTTCAGAGCGTCGAAAATCCACTTGAAAAATTGAAAACGTTTTTAAAATGTTCAAACACTTCTCACACAAAAAACGCGGCAGACCCTGAATATCTTTGATCTGGGAAAGGATTTAGTTATATCACCATATTATACCATAGTTTGTCACTTTATAGAGAAAATACCTCGATATGAACTGTATTGGCAATAATACGTGTTAGTCGACGGCCATTGAATAGTGGACGCAATTTAATACCATTTTCAGCAGTTGCCCGACATTTACAGATGCGACAGCAATCGGTTAAATCGAAATCATTTGGATTAACAAACGAAACTCTTCTGGTGCGACATCCTTCCTTTTCAGACATGATGAATATATTGGAATTTTAAATTTATTAAGAACCAGTTAGAACATTTCGGGAGTCAAAATGACAATGTTTGTTTCAAATTTGTTTTTGTATATACGTATAAGTAAGATTTAATTTTCAAACTTGCTTTTGAATTATGCCGCCAAGCTATATTTTCCCCACACTTGAAGTTGGCCTTATGAAATTTTAAGCTTACTTGAAGTTGGCTGCGCGCAGATTTCAATTCGCGTTAAGTTGGCTGCTCGCAAATTTCCAACTAGAGTGAAGTACACAAGACGCAAAAGTGTTTAATTCCTATTGATTTGAGTATTTGCATTGGTCGCATTTAAGTATTTATTAACTTGCAAAGACTTCAATGATAAACCCTTTGAAATTTACTGCGCCCAACAAGCCTCCAAGCTATCTACAAAAATTTCAACTAGAGTCTGCCATATTTTTTGGTAAGTTTTGCTTCGCATGCCATTTCTTATATGAGACCAGTTCGCTCACTTTTTTGTTGTTTTCTTTTGTTGTGCTATGCTCTTTCTGCCGAATAATGCCGCAAGATTGGTGTGTTTTGTTATTGTTGTGTGTCTATTAAAATCAGTAGGGCTTAAAACCAATCTTAATATACAAAGTACAAAAATTAACGATTGCCTCTAATTTAATATCAAACAATGTTTGTATTCATATGAATATAAATGAATTCGTTATAGTTTCTCTAACAAGAGGCGTCGCAGTAACGTTTTTAAGCAATGAGATATTTTGGCTATGCAGAATACCTATTTCTCCATTGTAAGTGTACATACATATATACATATGTATATATGTACATGTAATTTGGAATTGCAGTAACTGTGGCAACTTGGTCGGCCGGCCGGCGAAAACGGAAACTGATTGCTAACATTCGCGTAACATAGCCTTAACATAACAACGTTGGCTTTGAATGGTAGCATTCGGAGTTCGTAGCTCGCTGAAGTTTGCTTCAGTTGTGATTATTATAAAAAAGACAAGGAGTGAGAAAAGAAATTCCTCTAACTTATAAATTTAGTGTAAAATGTTGCCAAACGAGAGAAAGATATTGAGGTGCGGCAACAATACGGGCACTGGTTGCAAGACGTTTCATGATTTCTACATTCTCCATTTTGCAAAATCTTTTGCAGGCAACACGCACGTCAGAATCAAAGTCAGACTGCGCGCCGCCCCATCCAAAGACTCAACGCTGGACGACTCAACAACCATCACAACAGCGGCAACAACAACAAKACCAAAAATAACAACAGCAGCGGCAATCACAAGATGAGCAAGGCAGACCCCATATCGCTCAGCTTCCACGACTCGTGTCTGCGCATGTCCGACGTGCAACTGCTGCACGGACCGCGCTGGCTCAACGATCAGGCAAATAGCTCAATGGACTAACTAAATAGTTCTGTATACATTGAAATATACATATATTTGCTTGCAGATCTTGAGCTTCTACTATGAGTATCTGTCGCATGTCAAGTACAAGAACAACAACGACTTGTACTTTATAGCGCCCGAGGTGACGCAGTGCATGAAATACATGGACGACTCCGAGCTGGAGATGCTGTTCGAGGAGCATGATGCCGCTAACAAGCCATTCATATTCTTTGCACTGAATGACAATGGAAACACCGAGGCAGGCGGCACCCATTGGTCGCTGATGGTGCTCTCCCGACCAGAGAAAACGTTTTTCCACTTTGACTCGTATGGCAACAACAATACCGGGCCTTCGATGGAGCTGATGACTAAGGTGAAGGATCTGCTCGGCGTCCGTCAGGCAAAGTTTCGTCCGATGCGCTGCCTTCAGCAGGCAAATGGCTACGACTGTGGCATCCATGTCATCTGCATGACTGATCACATAGCCGACTATGTGAATCGCTATGAGGTGGTTGAGGGTCTACCCACATTGCACATCGACACAGTGAAGGCCAAACGAGCTGAACTGCTGAAGCTCATCATATCGCTGGGCGGCAAGGACTAAAYACGGTTAACTGCTCTCTATSTTACATCTTGTAGCCTTAAGTGACCTTTTATAAAAAACGTTACTAACTGTAAAACGCACTGTGAATACGACTCAAAGTATACGCTTACATTTTTAAGACAGCTGGAGAGAGGAATTGGAGGTGTGGTCATCTATGGGGTGCTTGCTTCAGGCGTTGAACGCAAGCTGATCTTCAGCATGAATGCTATATTTGTATTAATAACTGTAATTTGTTTAATTTAATGTTTACTTTTACCCAGTGCAAGGCACTGCAAAAACAGAAACAACACCAAAAACGAAATGAAGAGACAAAATCCAGCCGGAGCCCATTTGAAAGAAGTGCGACTCATGTAGTTTTTAGTTGGCTGGACGGAACAAATATTTGTTTATTCAAGCCGGAAGCTCTCATGTTTATTATTATCACTGGAAGGACAGCATGATATTTCTGTTTGTTTGTCCAACGCCATTTAAGATATGTGTAAAATGAAAATGGATGCAGTATTTAAGTGTTTATTGAGTTTCATTTGTCTAAAAATATAAAATAAAATTAATAGTAATAGGACGGAAACGTAAATCGAAACTATGATAATTTATGTATATACCCTATGGGCAGGTGCGTCTGGCCCTCTAAACTATTATAGCAATCGATTCATTGTGTAAAGAGCATTACGAATACTTTATACTCCCTAAATAGTAATTGGTGTTTATCTGACGATGCGGTAGCCGAGATACAATCTGCATTTGGTAATGAGGCCCTCGGCTTAACATATAACACAATATTTAGTTACGTATTATTCTCCGTTAAGCATGGTCGGCGAGTTTCTTTTGCGTATCTGTCAGAGTTATTCGATATTTCTAGGCGTTAGCTCGTACTTTCGCGTATCGAAGAATTATCGCGAGACGTGGCTGACGCGCGGCTATGTCCTGGTCGTGAATGCCCTGACGCTCAGTCTGCTGCCCTTGGTCTTCTGGCTGTCCGCCCAGTACGTCAGGATAGCCAGCTGGTTTCCAAATTTGTTGACCTATACCACATATATACTCTACACGGTGTCCTATGCGACTATAGCATACACTCTGATCTCGCGCTCCTGCCGGGATAAGGCGCTGCTGGAGGTGGACAGGATCGTGCAGCGATTGAACCGCAAGATTGCACAGGATGTGCGAATTGGGCAATCTGTCGGCAGCAGACTTGGCCATTTGCATAGTTTGAAGCTGGGTTCTGTGCTATTCGTCTGCGTGGCCAGCTTCCTAGCCTGCCTGACGATACCCAACACGCCAAAGCTGAGCGTTCTGCTGTGCGTCTTCCTATACAGCAACGCCAAGAATATTCCCCTGCTCGCCGTCTATCGCTATTATCTGGCTCTGTGGGACATCGCCTGTTGCTATCAGTATCTCAATAAGCAGCTGGCGCAGCTTCTGCATCTGGATAGAGGGATCCAAGATACTCCGTCGCGTCGCCAGCTGGAGCAGCTGCAGCATCTGTGGATGCTCCACAGCCTGCTCACGCGCTGCACTCAGAGGCTCAACAAGATCTATGGGCTGCTTATGTTGGCGGCGCGCTTTGACAATTTGGCATTCTTTGCGATTAATACCTATTGGGGCATAGTCTTCTCATTTAGCGTTAAGGCACCTTTCTATGTAACCCTCTTCGGGGCCTCGAACTACTATGTGCATCTGCTGGACTTTTATCTATTGAACTTCATGTGTGATCAGACCATGTGGTACCAGAGCGCGATACGGCATAGTCTCAGCGAGGGGCATTGGTCAAGGGAGGTGCATATCTAGTATATATGAATATACAGATACATATAAAGAAATTATATATTTCTCTTGCAGGTGAACGCCTTTGTCTTGTACGCCTGCACTTCGAAGCTGGACTTTTGGGTTTGCGGTCTCTATAAGGTGAATCGTCGCAGCTGGTTCCAAATGCAGATATCTATTATTACATTTTCCATTTTGTTGCTGCAGTTTCATTTGTTGCACAATAAGAAATATACTTTATAAACTAATTATTGTGGGTAAAATACCAAAATTAATAATAAATTATTAATCAACTAATAATAGATACTACATATTACTTATAGGTTTATCAAAATTAGCCTACAAGTAAAATAATATTTAAAATAGCTAAAATTCTTTTAATACGGTTTAGCTTAATTATAATAATTCATTCAGCTTAATCAGATAATTTTAATGATATATTCTGCTTAATCAGATAAATTCATATCAACATCAATGTCTTTATTATGATGCACAGCCAGATGGGGGGAATACAATACTCTAAACAATTATATCTAACCCATATCAATATCGTTAAGTGTAAACATTTCGATCACATAACACACACTTATCTGCTTTGGTATTGGTAGTTCGTGTTACATCGCAAATACATATGTATATATATATATAACGGAGGATTGGCGGGATTAACAACTGCCGCCCAGAGAGAGGATCAGCTTAAGCAGCTCGGCTCGCTTGGCCTTCACAGTCTCGATGTGCAGTCCGGGCAGCCCGTTGATCATCTCAAAGCGACTCACATAGTCGGCTATGTGGTCGGTCATGCAGATGACGTGGATGCCACAGTCGTAGCCATTCGCCTGCTGCAGACAGCGCATCGGACAGAACTTGGCCAGACGCATGCCTAGGAAGTCCTTCACCCTATTCATCAGCTTGACGGATGTGGCCGTATTGCTGTTCCCAAACGAGTCAAAGTGGAAGAAAGTCTTCTCGGGCTGCGACATCACCAGCAGCGACCAGTGACTGCCGCCCTCTTCGGTGGCGCCGTTGTCGTTCAGAGCAAAGAATATGAACAGCTTGTAGGCTGCATTGTTCTTGTCCAGCAGCATCTCCAGCTCGGAGTCGTCCATGTATTTCATGCACTGCGTCACCTCGGGCGCTATAAAGTACAAGTCGTTGTTGTTCTTGTACTTGACATGCGACAGATACTCATAGTAGAAGCTCAAGATCTGCAAGCAAATATATGTATATTTCAATGTATACAGAACTATTTAGTTAGTCCATTGAGCTATTTGCCTGATCGTTGAGCCAGCGCGGTCCGTGCAGCAGTTGCACGTCGGACATGCGCAGACACGAGTCGTGGAAGCTGAGCGATATGGGGTCTGTCTTGCTCATCTTGTGGGAGCTGCTCTGATTATGATCCTGATGTGTGCAGTCGTTAGGTCAGCGCACAGTCGGGGCTTGTTCGAGGACGTGCGTGTTGCCTAGAAAGTGTACGAAAAGGTTCGACAATTTTGTAATTTAGTCTATATGGATATTTGTTTGTTGTATTGTGTTCAAGCGTCAAGGCGGCCTGTATTTTGGCAGCATTTTATAAGATCTCTGATAATTTTTAGCTTTCAAGCATACATTTTTTTTTCAACCTGCGCCGTTTATGTTTTGCTGTTAAGTGTCTGTAATGCTCATGTTATTTAACATGTTTCCTTTGTAACTTCGGTGCGAATTAGCGGCCACGTGGCTTACTCTAACAGAAGTGTGCTGTTATTTCGGAATTTTAGGAGTAATACGCTATTATGTAGAAAATGCTGGAACAATTATGCATCTGCCACGTGGCCAGGGAATAACAGCTATTCCGAATTTTTGAGAGGTTGCTAGAATAATGCGCTGCCAACAGTGAAACTTGAAAAGTTTGTTAACAATTTTTCTTTATTTTAAATGCGAAATCAAATGTGAGCTTAGATTACTGCTAAGTTTATGGTTAAAAACATATTGTATACAAAGTAATTATAATAGCAATAAAAATACATCGAAATATTGATTTTACGAGGCACTAAATGCACTTAATGTGCACATTTTACAATTCACATTCATACACACATCTCATATATATTGATATAAAGAGGACATGCTGATAGATCGTTTGTATATAGTATATACTAAGCCGTTGTTAGATTTTGTTTGGTGGGTTCTTTGCGGGGCCCAGGATACAATTCCCAAATACTAAAAGCTAAATGCTCGGCTGTGTATACTTATGTTATTTGTAATAAAAGAGTCCGCTTCAGAGTCGAACCTCGGGGCGCACCCAGCCGCCGAAGGCACGCTCCAGCTCCTCGGCCACGGCCAGGCACAATCGGTCCTCATTAAAGTTCGCTATGACCTGCACGCCCAGCGGCAAGCCCTCGCTGCCYAGGCCAAGCGGCACAGCTGTGGCCGGGAAGCCCAGCACATTGACTATGCCCGTGTAGGAGAAGTTGATGGGACGCGTGATGGGCTCGTTGTGGTAGGGCGCCACAGTGGGATGCGTGGGATAGATGAGCACGCCATTGTCGCCCAGCAGCTGCTGTAGAGTGGCACGCAGGTCATCCCGCTTGGCCACCATGTGCTTGTACTTGGAGGAGCCATGCTGGCACTGGGCGTTGTCCATTACGGCCGTGATCAGGCCAATCAATGTATGCTTCGAGGCACCCACCAGCCACTTGAGCAGCTCCAGATAGGTGTTGATATCGTAGCGCAGATCACCTAGCTGGTAGCTGAAGCCGTGACCGGAGTCATCACGCATGTTGGCAAACCAAATGGCCGCTGATTGGCGTATCTGCGGCAGCTGAACCTGCTTCACCTGACCAGCGCCGAATTTCTTGCTCAAATGGTCGGCCACTCGGCGCATGGCCAGCAGCAGATCCTTATCGACGGCGGAGACCATGCGACCACCGCCATCTGATTCCTGATAGAAGAACTTTACTTTATCCAGCTCCACTGGCTTGTCTAGCCGCAACAGGTGCGCCCGCTCCCCAGCCATAATCTGCAGCATGGGTCGCAGATCCTCGGCAAATCGTGACATGGGGCCCAGACCCAAAAACGAGTTCTGCTCCTCACTGAACGGACTCGGAAACTGGCCCTTATTCGAAACGATCAGCTTGCTGGGCTTATGCCCAAAGATGCCATTGAAAAACGCGGGCATTCGAATGGACCCACCAATATCCGAGCCCAAGCCAAACGGTGAGCCTGCAGCCGATTGGACACAGCCCTCGCCGCCGCTGGAGCCGCCCACAATGCGATTCGTGTCGTAGGCATTGTTTGTCCTGCCGTGCACCGTATTGTTGCTCTCCCACCACATGCACATCTC